CTGCTAAAATCTGGAACAGTCTTCCTGAAGATGTGAGACAGGCCTCCTCTCTGACAATGTTTAAAACCAGGTTAAAGACGGTTCTGTTTAACTGTGCATACAACTGAGGGATTTTATATTTTTATCTTTCTTTTTAATGTTCTGTGATAATTTATGATTTTAATGCTTTCTTGTTTTGTTCAGCACTTTGAATTGCCTTGTGTATGAATTGTGCTATATAAATAAACTTGCCTTGCCTTGCCTTGCCTTGATTGTGCAAGTTCTCCCACTTAAAATAATGACAGAGGTCTGTAATTTTCATCATAGGTACACTTCAACTGTGAGAGACAGAATGTGAAAGAAAAATCCAGGAATTCACATTGTAGGATTTTTAAAGAATTTATTTGTAAATTATGGTGGAAAATAAGTAATTGGTCAATAACAAAAATGCAACTCAATACTTTGTAATATAACCTTTGTTGGCAATAACAGAGGTCAAACGATTACTATAGGTCTTTACCAGGTTTGCACACACAGTAGCTGGTATTTTGGTCCATTCCTCCATGTTTCGGGGCTGTCGCCGAGCAACACGGACTTTCAACTCCCTCCACAGATTTTCAATGGGGTTGAGATCTGGACACTGGCTAGGCCACTCCAGGACTTTCAAATGCTTTTTACGGAGCCACTCCTTCGTTGCCTGGGCGTTGTGTTTGGGATCATTGTCATGCTGGAAGACCCAGCCACGTTTCATCTTCAAAGCTCTCACTGATGGAAGGAGGTTTTGGCTCAAAATCTCACGATACATGGCCCCATTCATTCTTTCCTTAAAGGCGCTATACCCGTTTCTGCAAGGTTTGAATGTTTAGCACCGCCCCCCAACTCGCTCAATGGCTTCTCATTTCCGCTACGCTCTCATAACACAGAGCCATCTAGCTCCGTTTGCGATCTGATAACTATGCTAACATTAGCATTAGCACAACTTCTTGTAAGCTCAACAACAATCACTGATGAAATGGTACTAAAGCAACGCACTGCTAACACAATATATAGGTAAAAGAATACGGCTAGTTTCGCATCCAAATTCATTCATTAAAACATTAGAATATATTCGAATATTTAATTATAATTTATTATACAGCTCCTCACAGCAGCAGTGGAACACTCCATTGACTTGAATGTAATTCTACCGATCATTTTTTCTTCATAACAGAACTCTCAAATCAATAATGACCGCTGCCCTTTGACAATGCAATCTCTGTGTCTAATTCAGGTGTGTAAAATACTGCCATTACTCCGCAAGCACAACGTGAGAAGCTAGCGGAGCTAGCCACGCTCAATAAACAACTACATATCTATCAATCAACACCATTAAATGTTAATCGGACAATACAGTATACATATACATCCTTAACACTCATGCACAGACGTTTTCAGAATTTCCTGTTATCGTTTTCATGACCAAATTACTATTTTAATGTGACAAAAAGCAATCGCGAAAAACCCGGAAGTAACCATTAACATGTAGTTCCAGGGAGCTAGCTAGCTTAGCTGTTACCTGCCTAGCACGTCCCGGTGGAACCCTTGGGAGCTAACTATTTTATTTGCAGTTATTGAATACATTTGGAATTGTAAGGGCTGTCGAATATGTGTTCGAATATATATATATATTTTTTATTTTAGAATTATATCCGAATTTTGACGTCGAAGCCCTGGTGTTTAGCAGCGCTGTAGAGTCTAGAGGACGCAGGCTGTTCACTGCTCGTTCTGTGAGTGGAGGAGGAGGAGAACGTCCCGCTCAGACTCTACTCAGCACTTTTCACTGCTTGTAATTCTTACACAGCTGAATCAATTACCTCAAGTTTTCAATTAAATTATGGATTATAATACAACTTGTATGTAGTAATAAGCATTTTTATGAACTACTTAGAAAAAAAAATCGGGTATAGCTTCTTTAACACGGATCAGTCGTCCTGTCCCCTTAACAGAAAAACAGCCCCAAAGCATGACGTTTCCACCCCCGTGCTTCACAGTAGGTATGGTGTTTTTGGGATGCAACTCAGTCTTCTTCTTCCTCCAAACACGACGGGTTGAGTTTATACCAAACAGTTCTACTTTGGTTTCATCTGACCACATGACATTCTCCCAATCCTCTGCTGTATCATCCATGTGCTCTCTGGCAAACTTCAGACGGGCCTGGACATGCACTGGCTTCAGCAGGGGGACACGTCTGGCACTGCAGGATTTGATTCCCTGTCGTCGTAGTGTGTTACTGATGGTAACCTTTGTTACTTTGGTACCAGCTCTCTGAAGGTCATTCACCAGGTCCCCCCGTGTGGTTCTGGGATATTTTATCACAGTTCTCATGATCATTTTGACCCCACGGGGGTCAAAATGGCCAGCGGGGAGAGCGGCACCGGTGAGGCGCGCATTGATAGTGCATTGGCGCGTGCGCGCCCGGGCTAGGCCCAAAGACCGGGATGTGCCAGCTCTCCCCCGCGGGTGCCCGGTGGCGACCCGTGGTCGGCGAGCGGCTGGCAGAACTGCGGCCCGGTCCCGGGACTGAGAAGAGCGGAGGCCAGTGGGGAGAAAAGAGTGGACTGCGGGGTTTTTTTATCATCTTTTATGGATCCTTTTTGTATATATTTTATTACATTTTATCCCCTTTTTATCTTCTTCCTGTTTTATTGATCACACCCCCTCAACAGACACTTTTTAACCTGTGACATATGCAATTACAGTCAGACAAGGTATAGCCACTTTCTGCGGCCATGCTTCTGTGCTTACAGACGCTAGAATATACTGTCTACTACAGAATATATACACACATATACACACATATATATATATACACACATATATATATATATACACACATATATATATACACACATACACATATATATATATATATATATATACACATACACATATATATATCCCTATATATATGTCCCTGTCTTTTCCTGAAACTAAACTAAACTAAACTCGAATTAAAATTTTGGTACGCAAATTTCCCCCTTTTATTAACAGCTCATTTTGGTTGTGCTCAAAAGCCAAATGTTGTAAGCAAATCTAACAAATTTAAGTACATTTGGTATAAATGACAATTACATTTGATGATCTCATTTAACTTCAATTGAAGTGGATTTGAAATAGATTGTTAAAAATTCGATTAATCGTGAGTTAACTCACCATTACTGTGCGATTAATCAACTACATTTTTTTTATTGTTTGACAGCCCTAGATTTTATACAAATACATTTCCAGTGATGGACATATAAAGCCCGTAGCACATTGAGACTTTAATTCCCAGACTGTTTCAAATGTGGTGAAGCCTCTGAACTAGCTTTTACTAGCTTGTAACATTGACAAATTCATACTGCTTCATCTTCTCACATAACTATAACAGAGAGCATCCTACTGCAGCAGAACATGGGTATATTGAATAAAAGTTTGTTTAAATCTCAAAAACAAATTACAGAAACAAAGGAACAGCACTTTATGCAGATCACAGGTTTTTATTCAAGTTTTTCAACAGTTGTCAGTTTCATTCGGCTTCTTGTTTGGCACCAGCTCTGCCGAACCCCACGGTTTGATCGAAACCCAGGTTAAGAACCACTGCTCTAGTGGCTATAACTGGATGTGAAAGCCAGATCCTGTCAGATCCAAAAGCCAAGTAGGGGAGGGCCTTGTTAGGTACTGTGATGGAGACCTCTGGTAACACAGTGGGGCGGCTGCAACAATAACTTGCCAAAACTGCTGTTGTGTCCTTGGCTAAGACACTTCACCCACATTGCCTAAAATAATTTTGGTGTGTGTGTGAATGGTTCGTGATGGTCCGAGGGGACAATGGCACATACTGAATCGCTCATTTCGGTCAGTGGGCCTCAGGGCAGCTGTGGCTACAGTAGTCGTTTATCAACTGAAGGAATAATGACATGTGAAGAGCCTTTGAGTCTCCAAAAAAGCTGTTAAAACCTAAACCTAAAAAAAAAACACCTAATATTCTTGCACTAGTCATTAACTCTGAGGGTTTCACATGCTGCTAACATATACATTGAACTGGGGTCCGCTTGTGAGGTAGTCCAAGATCCACATATACAGGATAGAGTCCACTCCAGTGGTCTCCAGCTTGTCAGGCCTAGGCCTCAAGTGCTAAAGGTCACACTTTAACATTCTACATGTATGGACATTTTCTTCTGTGTGTGCTTTATATTCTTCATGTGTTTTAACTGTTGATTCTCTGACCTGTGTTGGTGATTTCAATGGTTTTGTTAAGTCCTCTGAGATGACTTCCGTTTAGACCTAGGGCTATACAAGAATACATTGTAAGTGCAGGGCTCTAGAAGGTGGCCCAGCACCAGCCTTTCCTGTAGCCATCGGCTTGAAGTTCTTTGGCCCTTGGTATCTTGGGAACTGGTACCACACAGGAGGTCTTCCAGATCTGTAGTACCAACCTCAGCTTGAGGCTCAGGTTGAAGACATGCTCCATCAATCCCTTGTTTATCTTGGGTTACATTCTAAAAATAACCTGCAGTAAGCAAACCTGCTCATTGTAGATCTGTACGCTGCTGTGCATACATAATAAAATACATGAGCAGGACCTAGTGCTGCGGGAAGAGCGCTGCAGTCCTCTGAACTAATCACACAAGCTACAAACTGACTCTAAATAAAAGTAACTGTTAGTGTTATATGATGTTGTTGGACTATACATGGGCCGCACGAGAAGTACGCTCTAAAATTGCGCTCTAAAATTGCCCAACAGAGTCTGTAAAAAATAAATTCCGTAAAAGGGGGAAAAGGTGACCACTGTATAATTGACTACAGCAAGTTTATCATCTACATGCAGAAATACAAACATTTTCAAACATACTTTTAGAAGGACAACTTTGAGCATGTGGACACACTTGTTCTCCCTGAATTACAAGAGCGGAGTGACCGGATTGAGAGAACAATTCAGGAAAGATGAATGAACAAAGACCAAGCTGAAAAAGAGTTGGTTAGAGTGGCAAATGACTCACTCTGGATGACGCTCAGCCCAAACAGGTGACAGTCCTTGAGCCGCATGAGGTCACACACCTGAACTAACAGCTCTTGGCACAGAGTTTTCACCTGGACAAAGGAAACAACAGACACAGTTTATTTAAGATGTGGATTTAGAAGAATCTTTTACAGAAGGCAAATCAGAGAGATGTTCATTATAGCTGTAAGGCTGTGTCAAGAAACTGTCACACACCCAGCCAGACATTTAAACATTTGGCCATATTACTGAGATTAAAAGTGATAGTGGTTGTGTGATGCTATTTAGTATTTATGTACTCTTCTGACCCTGATCAGAAGCCTCCATCCCCCAGTTCTCAATTACTGTGTTACTCCAAAAACATGTATGATGGCTTGGAGTTGTTTGTGATAGTTGTGGATGAGGTTCTTTATCTAACGATAAAGCTGCCAATATAATTTAAAGGTCCACTGTAATTTTTTGTGCCATCTAACGTTGAGATCTTATATTGCAGTCCAATATAGTACGGAAGCCTTTGAGTTGACTCAACTCTCAGTCATTCACCAGACTGCCAAGGAAAGAATACTTTAGTTTGATACTTGACAGTCGAGGCGACTTGTAAACAAGACTGCGTTCAGACGCGGCACCCTGCACAGAGGCTCAAATGAGTTTTACCATGGATCTATTATAATATATAGTTTTACAAACGCGGTGTGAAGAGAAGGGACGCATGGAGGAATAACGTCTGTGGGAGCTTAAAACTACGATGATCAAAGGAGTAGGAGATGTACAGAGCCGTGGCAGGACATGGCTAAAACCTCATGTTAGCTTTAGCGTTAGCCATTCTTATCTATTTGAGGCTTTTTCTCTGAATAAGTTTAGTTGAAACTTGTGACATAGTAGTTGGACTGCCCTCAGATCGGGTCAGAACATCCTGAGACTGTGTTGTAGAGTCTGCCTCGTTCTCATTATTGTCAGTGTGAAAAAAAGTTACGTATTGTTCACGTGTGAGTTTATTGTGTACAAACTCCACGATGTGCCTCTTGTTGTGTTAACGCCGTCTTTGCGTGTGGTTTGCGATGTTGACACTTTGCTGCTATGACGCTGGACTTCTGCATAATTATTTTTCTAAAAGATTGTTCGGATCGTTCGGATCGTTCTTTTACATAACTGTGGTCCTCCATGGTTCTTTTACATAACTGTGGTCCTCCATGGTTCTTTTACATAACTGTGGTCCTCCATGGTTCTTTTATATAACTGTGGTCCTCCATGGTTCCTTCCTCCAACTTGTGAAGGCACGGTGAAAGCAACAATACAGTAGCTCATTTGAACAACGATGAACGACAACCTTTTTGTCCCTTATCCACCACTGTTTTTTCCAAGATGGCGCATTTACACGGAGAGCACTCCTCTCTCATGACACTTATAAGTTAAATTCTAAGACTATGAATACAATTTAAAAAATGGTGGATATAAATATTCTTAAAAAGGTCACATTTGTTATTAGTTAACATGTTTTTTTCATATGGAGCAGCTGTAAAAATTACACAGGGTGGCTTTAAAGCTGGGGTGCCTGACTACAACATGAAACTAGTCGAAGTATCAAACGATTCTGGGACCTCGGGACATGTTGGATGGATTTCTTTTAAATACCAGTAGTTCAATCTTTGTGGTTTGAAAGTTTGGTACCCTGGCTTTAAGATTAAGAGATGTAATTATGTCCAGTTCTGACTCATTCAATGTGAGCGTCTGAAACTTTTTCAAATTCAAACTATTTCAATTTCTTGAATTAGTTAAAAAATTCTTCTCCAGCAAATATTATTGGTTGTAGTTATGCCTAGGTGAGAGATTAATATATTATTGTTGAAAAATAATTACTGTAGGAGGATCCTCTAATGGTACAGTGTCTCATGTTCAGAAATATAATTTCTTTTAAAAATGAAATCCAATTTAAGTTGCTGATTACTTTTAATATTATACAATAGTTTTTTGTGGTGGTGCAGTCACTCACATTGACAATGACGTTAAGCGTGTCGTCGTTGGGGAGAAAGACACAAACGCAGCGGCGGTCTTGCATGGTTTTGTTATTGTGGAAGTTCAGTTTGTTCATCTTAAAGTGACGCGTCCTGAGTGAATCCTCCTCTTCCTCCTCCAGAGGCCTGAACTTCAACTGCAGCCCAAACTGCCTGCTGGTCTAGGCTCAGGTGGGACGTGCGTTTGGAGGGAGACCATCAGGACTACAGACCAGAGCACCTGTGGGGAAGAACAGCATACGTGCGCTTGGTAAAAAGCAGCGGTGAGGAATGAAACAGTTGATCAGCCAACGGTGTCCTATTCAACCAAAATAGCATCAGTCCAGGATTTACATCCTGAAAACAAGAAACTAGAACGTCCACTCAAACAAAAGCATACCCCGGATCATCTCAAAATATTGATGGGGGATTCCAATAGCGTCCCTTATACCAGGGTTTTTATTGGCCCACTACCCCCATGATAAATGTGCCGCTCCCCCGTGACACCCCACCTCAACAGCCCTTCCCGTCGCATTAAATGAGCACATATTTCCTTGATTCTAAATAACGCTTTAAAGAGACTCGCGTCGCTACGTAGCATCGCGTACCGAGCTGCACTCGTCAGCCCAAAATAAGAGCCTTGCGTGTTTTTACTCGCGTAGTGACGCAAGTGATGGGCTTAGTGGGCTCCCCCCTTAGCAGAGGTGGAGGGCATTTCTTGCGGCTCGCCCTCGCTGTTCTTTGACCGCAGTAAAGAGACCCGGCTTTTCGGGGTCAGCGGTAAAGAGGGCTGCACATTAAAAGCCACATATGACTTTTCTCTCCCTCTGGGTTTTTCTGTTGTGGATATTAACCACGTTTCGTTTTAAACACCTTTAGCTTCAGCAAACAACAGCAGGACACGCTTTGTCACTGCGCATGATGTAAGCTGCGTAACTTGATTTTGATTGACGCTGTCAATGTCTGGGACAAAATTACAAATGTAATTAAAATAAAAAAATTTCAAACTCTTCTCCAAACACAATTTAACAAGTAGTCCTTTTGAATCAAATCAAATGGAAAATAAATATTTAAGGGCTATATGTTTTTGCATAATACTACTGACACACACATGCACACACACTTCCACAATACTCGCATGTTGTGGGTATGTGTAGCTAATTCACTGAAGATTAGTTTAATTTAATTCTGAGTCGTTCCCAGGCCGGCTGAGAGACATCGGCCCTCCTGGGCCTCCTACTCAGAGCTCCTCACCTCATCTCTAAGGGAGTGTCCAACAAGTCTGCATAGGGAACTAATTTTGACCACCTGTATTTGCAATTTTGTTTGTTTGAGGTGACACATGTAGGTAAGGTTTCTGTCGTGATGGGGCCGCTGTTTCAAACAATTATGAAGAAGGGGTCCAAAGGCAAAACTCCAAATCCACGTTCCTAACATCACCAGTAGTCCAATAAAACAAATAAATAAATTTACCTTTATATTCATAGACACACTGTTTATGCATCAACAGCTGTATAGAGGAAGTCAATGGAAGTTTGGGTCAGGCAGTAATTGTCTTGACAGCTATGCCCCTTTTTAATCAGCTAACCAAATATTGTGGAAAAAGGCAAAAACACAGTTTGAAAAGGTCTAAATGACATGGTTAAAACTTAAAAGCAGAAACAATGGGAGAGGGTAAATGATAGGCGTGGAAATGCAGTGAAAGAAGGTCAGTGTTCCTCTGAGCAGAAAGTGACTTCAGAGCGGGGGAATGTCCTAAGCACATCTGTGTGGAGGAAGTGACACAATTCAAACTACACACAACAGTAGACCTGCTATGGTTCAGTGGCTGATGACGGAATACCTTGCCTCATCTTACTCAGCTTTCAGGTCGTGTTGCAACCATAGACTGTAAATATTAACGGACGTAGTCACGCCTATCTCTGCTGTTCAAAGAAATGGGCCATTAATTGGGCTTTCACTGTCAGAAAATTGTGAAAAACACGCTTTCTGGGCGTAGACTCGGGGCGCGCTGAATCATTTGCGCATGCGTCAGCTGGCACACATCGGGCAGTGATCTGGCAGCAAGCCCCGCGATCCAAGATAACTGCACAACAGATATGCAGTTATTAGGCTACACATTTAGATTTACAGTAATTCAAGTGGAGACTTTTAAGCCCTAATCACGTTTGCACTAAATTTAGTGTCCAGCAGAGAGCCACTCCACCGGCTACACCACCTCTGCTGGTGAGACCAGTCCTGCCCCAGTGGCTACACCACCTCTGCTGCTGTGACATGTTGCTTTCTGAATTAATTTTCCCTTGCATGTGACAAATAAATGTCATGTTCTCTACACCGTTCTGTTTGTTCCAAGGCTTCCTGTCCTGCAGCGTGTCACTTCTACACACATCTAAGCTTTCATGGTCATCAGTGTGTTTTTTGTACCTGTAAGATACTCTGTGTGTAGCACAGAAAAGTTGTACCTTCCATAGTTCCTGAAATCCCCACAGTAAAAATACTGCATTTTATTTAACATGCATTTATTTCCAAGATGTATACACCACGTAGAATAAACAAATGCAAACTTTAAACAGTTACAGAAATGTCCTTCATGTATGTGCTGCTGTGTCCTGGAACGACGAATGAAGAGGCCTCCACTCATGCCTGTAAGGTTTGCCCTGGTAAACCTAAAATCAAGGAATTAATAGCTTGAGTAACCCAAACACACTTGTGGTGTTGGTCAAATATAGTATTTACAAGCTACAGCTATCGGCCCAGGGTGGTATTGCAGCCAGCGCATGTCATTTTAGACATTTTTGAGCCGGGACCCGCCCAGACTGATTGCAACCCTCCTCCTCTCCATTACCCGCTCATCACTCCAGCTTCCACCAGCACAAAGTTCTACACCCCGGTGAACCTAATTTCCATAAATTATATTTGATTTCCATTCCATCCATTCCATCCATTTTCTACCCTTTAATCCATTTCTGGGTCAGGGGGGTGGCAATCAGAGATGCCACCCAAGTCTCATAGCACCAGCCCCTCACTGACCCTCTGCAGGTGGTGAGTCCACAGGAGGACGGCTGCTCTCTGAGTGTGAGCATAGCCTTGATCTTTCAGTGGGGGCTTTGGGCAAAGTGGGGTTAAGTGTCTTGCCCAAGGACACAACGACAGCAGTCATCAGTGGGAGTCGATGGAGAAGGTGCAGAGGTGGGAATTGAACCCATGACTTTCTGGCCTTAAGGCCAATGCTCTACCAACTGAGCTACTGTCGCCCCCTAATATGTGTAATGCAATATCATAGCATTATAAGTTATCTCTTAGTCACAAGTAAAAAGGCAGGGATTGCTACCGCTACTTCTCACTGGGAACAGTCAGTGAACATATTTCTGTGTACAGTACAGTAAGTAAATCTTTGAGTTTCACATATAAAACATGAAAAAAAATATGCTGTCTCTATCTGTGTCGCCCGTGATGGATTGTTAACGAGACACCTGGCTTCATTGGGTTGTGTGTGTAAGCAAAAAACCAAGTGCAAGATGCAAGTCAAAATGTACATTTGCAACTTTTATGGTAATCAGTGACAGGTGGTGATGTTTATGAACGGTGAGGCACACCCCTTTGGTTGTTGCTTGCTTAGTTTTTTCAACTAATGGTCTCCCCGGCTACTATGTTATGAACATAGACTAAGTTAGGAGTTATTGTAGGACAAAATCAAACATCGCCCAATTGTGTCAAGACTTGGTACTATCTGAGCCTTCTCCAATTATTTTTAAACCAGCACAAAGTTCTAGGCCCCGGTGAGGCAATGTTTCAAAATTGTATCAGCAGAGTTCAGAATCAGATTTATCAGATTTATCAATGAGCACAAGTTTTTGTTTCCGGTACAGCAGGAATGCTCAGCTCAACTGTGCTACATATAACGGCACACAAAAACACACAAAATACATAAACAAGTATTTTAAATATGTTGTTCACAGAAAATGGAAGTAATTTCAAGATACACAAACAGAGATATTAAACTTGTATGAAGAATAAGATATGACTGGCACATGATGTATTAAAATGTTCACGACAGATACAGTGTACTTAAAAGCTTTATCCTTAAGATATTGTATCCTGTGCCTGTTCTGTGCCATGTCAAAGTTACATTTATTCAAGCTATAGTTCACAGCTCCAGCCATACTAATGTCAGGAACTTCTAGCAGAAGTTAGGAGAAACTCATCCCTCCAGCAAACCTTGTCTCATTAAAAATGTATAATATCTATCAAGTCATGTATGAATAAGTCAATGTTCATTTTCTTAGTTCGTCTAATTGTAATATATTTAGGAGGATTTTTTGGCATTCGTATTTTCCACACACAGAACACAATGGAGTGATCGCTAAAGCAATCAGACATAACTCCTGATAGTGAGATTCTCTCAGGGTGAGTTACCAGTATCCAGTCTAGAAGTGAGGAGGAGTTCTGAGCTACTCTGGTGGGTTCTGTTATGAGTTGAGTGAGATTAACACTGTTAAGTAAGTTCCTTTCACCAGAGGAAGAACGGTGAAGCCAGTTACTATTAAAGGAAGGACATATTTTTCATGAATTTGGATGCAGCCTTGGACTTGACAACACATTTTTCCCAATTCTCCACAAGTTTAAACCTGCCCCATCTGTGCGTAAAGCCCTGGGGTCACATCCTGCAGAGACAGAGGCGTGAACCGTCCCAGCATGAGACAAAAGACACTAATGGGACGAATGCAAAGCCCTCATCACCTCTTCCTCCTCATAGAACCTCACCTCGCAGACATTCACACACAGATAAGAACATTCCACAGGACAGCTCAGTGAAAAAAACAACGAGACACAGCCAAGCAATTCACAAAAACAACCCCGCTCCGGATTCCTCAAAAACCTCCTCAGGCCGCTGCAAAGCCAGAAATGAACGCACCAACATTATTCTGCATTTCGAGGGAAATTACGCCGGGGTCTGGGGTCGTGTCACAGACGGAAGACATGTTTTGTTATCGATGGTAGAGATGAGACACAAAGATTTTACAGAATGCAAGTGATATTATTATGGCGGAATGGAGATGCTCCT